TACATGTTTCAAAAGTAAACAGTGAGTTTTTGAAGAAAAAAATTTAATATTTTTTAAGTTATAGTCGATCTCCAACGGCGCGAAAAAAAGTTCCTTCACTGCTGCACTGATTCCGGCCTTCTCCGTGGATGAAATCTAAAAAAAAAAATTCTCCAGAGATAATATTGTCTGTACAATGACCTGCGATAAAAAAATCAAAAATTGACAATATTGCGGCGTTTTAAAAAAATAGTTGAATTTTACCCAAAATTTTGGTCGTTTTTGGCCTGCCAAAATTCGATTTTTTAATCAGATCAAAAATCGATAGGTCATTGTACGGAGAACTACATATAGAACATTTAAAAAAAATTCTATAGTAATCGGATGATTTGTTTTTGAGCAATCTCTGCAGCAAGTCCGGAAAATGCTGTTTCGAGAAAAACGTGTTTAAAAATGAAATGGTCATTTTCACTCGTTGCAAATGAGACTCTCTAGCTGCCGACTGGCTGCTCTTTAAATTGCTATAACTCAAAAGCTCTTTGAGATATCAATTTCTAGTTTACATATGTTATTTTCAAAGGTGTAATCTACGGAGATATGAAAAAAAGATCGACTTTTTTGCAATATCACACTAGGTGTGCCCTTAAAAATGGAAAAAAAATTAAAAATATGCTTGTTTTATTGCTTGAATACTTGTACAAGTGACATTTTAATATAACTGAACCAAATTTTTCTATACATAAATATATTATTTGTTATATGTAACACAATCTTAGACGATATTGTTGACATATTTCAAGTATTTGGGCTGATTTACAGCTAATGAGAGTTGCTGAGAAAATTCGCAGAATTGCGGAAAATTAAACAAAATTTTTGAAAAAAAATATATTAAATTAATTTTTTCGTATAGACATTATAAATTTTTTTACTAAGAATATTTTTTATGATATAAATATTAAGTTTACTCAAGGCCTGGTTGTTTGTAGGAATTGAATATTTTTTTTAATATTTTTTATAATTACTTATATATATTACATACTAAATAAGAAAAAATAGTAAAATCCTCCCATTAAGTATTTTTTATTGTTCTTTTATATGTATTTACCACTTTATTTACTTTTTTTTACTCGGCTTTATTATGTACAAAGAGTATATTATCTATGTTCTGTTAACGAAGCGGCATAAAATAGTCGAGGTAGATATAGCAACCTTCATTAAATGAGTCGAAAAATCGACTTAGCCATATTTGCTCATCTCTCTGTCCATCTATGTTTCCCAGCGGATCTGAGGAAAGCATGAGCCCCAGATAAGGCATGCCTGTCATAAATAGCGACTAAAATCTAGTCACATGCTGCTGTGTGGAGACTTAACAAGTAATAGCTTTGGCTACGAGATCAGACTAGAGATTGAAACTGTTACCACGAGGAACAAAAGCTCTCCGAGCTGGCTTCGACCAGTTTGTGAGGTATACCCTTCGGGAAGTATCGCGGAAGTTTTGGTTGATACCTAAATATAGGTAGAATTGCGCCATGGTCATTTCAGTGTCGGTACGGTACTGATTTTGGGTAGGCCTTGTACCTTGTACACCTACCATCGGTGTATTTTTTAGTATTTTCTGGTTCAAAGAATTTTATTTTGAGCTAAAACCTAATATTGTAAATTCTATGAAAAAAATATTTATTAATCTGAGCATTATATAACGTTCATATTTTTAATCACTGCTTAATTGCCGCTATTGTCATTAGCTTTTCACTCTTGAGACATATTAATTCTTTCAATTGAATTCAGCATCGTTGTGTGCGTGTGTGTGTGTTTTGTATTCAAAAAAGCCTTCAAGCATGTTTTTTATTATAACAGTACAATAAGAAAGTCTTAAATTCCAAATGAATTTAATCCTTTGACACCTTGAACTTGACGTCAGTGTCAATGCTATTGCTAATTTTAATACCTTCGGGACATATATATACATATTCATGCACACATATATTCGTATAAATATGTACTTGTAATAAGTTGCGGCTGTACAATTGCAATTCTCAAGAGTGATTTGAAGTTCTTTAGGGTTGAAAGTGTCTTGTGTACAGATATATATTAGGGTGGTTGAAAGTAATTTGTTAATGGAAATTAATTTCATTTTAGGCGCTGCATGTTATGACAGTAAAGTTAGGCTATTGAAATCAATAAATGAGACTGACTTGCATTTGTACTTTATTTGTTTGCTTTATGTCTTGTGAACAGACATGATCAACTAGCCTGGCTGACGCATTTATCTCTTCTCTTTTAAACAAACGCGCTTATCTGACTAGCAAAACATTTTGTTAAACTCTCGAAAAGAAAATCAGTATTTGGAAACACAAAAACATTATCAGTGTTTATATATAATAACATGTATAGTCAAAAGAAATCCATTAACTTCGCATAGAGGGCGTTATCTATCTGTATCTCGCGTTGTATAAGTCCGATTGGGTTCAGTTAGATGGCGTTAGAAAGGTGACATTTCGAACTAAAAAAACTTCTTTTGTAACTAACTGATTGAGTTTTGTTTGAGCATGGATCAAAGATGGACATCAACAAAGAGAAAAAACGCTATATTATACAGTTTTTCTTCGATAAGGTTGAAAACGCACGCCAAGCGGCTAAAAATGTGAAAAGCATTTATGGTCCAGATACTTGATGTAATAGCTGCTTCTCGGAGCGGAAAGGCAATTGACGGAAATGTCGACAAAATCATGGACTTTGTCGAGTAAGACCGTCATGTAAGCGTTGCTTCGATTGCCCCAGAGCTAAATATTGCACAAAAAATCTGGAAAATTTGGAACAATTTGAATAAAGCTGGAAACGAAAAGAAAAATGGAAACCATTAATTTTTATGAAAAAATAATGGATTTATTTTTACTAAACCTTATATATGTCATTTCATCGGTCTTTTGTTTTATTATATTATATATTTTTTTTATTTTAATCTATTTTTTTTATTTTATTTTATTTTATTTTATTTTATTTTATTTTATTTTATTTTATTTTATTTTATTTTATTTTATTTTATTTTATTTTATTTTATTTTACTTTATCTTATTTTATTTTATTTTATTTTATATTATTTTATTTTATTTTATGTTATGTTATTTTATTTTATTTTATTTTATTTTATTTTATTTTATTTTACTTAAGTTTAATTTTATTTCATTTAAATTATGTTGTTTCCTCATTCTATTTACATTGATTTTATTTTTATATAATTTATTTTATATTTTGACTTTTATTTTTTATTAATTTGTTTTATTTTATATTATTAATTAATAGTATACAATTTTTAGTCTGTTTATTTTGCTTTACTTCACTTTAGTAATTTGTATTTTTTTTAATTATTTTCGTGGAAAGGTTTGATTTACTTTTTATCAAAAACAGGTATTAGACTTTTTCTTTTCCGCGTAAACAATATTTCTGGGAATTTGCACCTAAAATATATGCCAAAGTAAATAAATATGTTTACCATGTAAAAAATGAGATCTAAATACCGTCAAACAAATAAATGGTAGGAGACATCTAAGCAGCTGCGTAGTATTAATCTTTTGGCGATTATCTTGGTAAATAAGGTAGAGCAAAAAATTCGTGTGAATTTGAAAGTAAAAGTAAAAGGTGGCACTAAAATTCGCTAGAATTTCATAGACAATGGCAGCAGATGCGTTGAAGTGGCACAATAGCAACCGTATAAGTTTTACTCACGTTCAAATTTTTATGGAGACGCAAACATTTAGTGTGCGGCGGAAACAAAAGAAACAAACAAATGGTTGCCACGTGTGAGCAGCATTGGCAATAAAGACTCAACCAGACGGCTGGAAAGAACAAAATAAATATAAGCGATTTCTAGACAACCGGGCAACAACAGCGCTGGTGTTGGTTTTGGAACAAATAAATGTATCAAAAACATAAATACGCACAATAAGCAATTTGCTAGCTACTCACTGAATGAAATGATTATAAAAAGTGATAAAATCAATTCCAAAAGCAAATACAAGACAAGATAACACCAATATTAGCCTAGAAGCAAATCAGCTTTGTTATGTCAAAAAATTTAGATGTAAATGTCTTGCAGTTGGAGATTCAAGTAGGGGAAAATTTATATGAAATTAAATAATATAATACTAAAAGACAACTAGGCAGATATGTATACATATGAACAGCCTATGAATTTTAATTTTATCAAAAGCAGAAAATTTTTATGATTTTATGATTTAATAATCTGATTACTTTTTCACTTAGTTCGATAGCATTTTTTACCTACAGAGTAAGTTCATCATATGAGTTATCCATATTATAAACAAATAAATCAGTTTTTAACTAGAAAAACATGCTATAATAAAAACATAAAGTGTTCAAGCACAGATTTTTCTGGAAAATTATTTTTACTGTCAGAATTAAGGCAAATTCACACAATGTAGTAGCACGAATACAAAAAAAAGCCAAAATATTTTATTGTTGTTATCATTGTTTCGAAAAGTCAAAAAAGTTCGCAATGTCAAAACTTATTCCTCATGTATGTTGTTTGTGTAATTTGTTTTGATAAAGAAGGAAGAATAAGCAATCACATGATGTGACCACTTCACCTTCTATAGATTCGGCTTGTATCTGAATGTAAAAAAAAAAATTATTTTAAAAATTTGTGTACCAAAATTTTCAAATCAGCTACTAGATGTTTGACAAAATGAAAATTTTGTGATTACAAATACATGTACTATGTACATATATCTCAGTTAATTAGCGATGTTTTTAAGCAGATAACTAATTTTTTTTGCCTTCCACTCATTTTCGTACACTCGCAGCGCTACATATTTCTTCTGTTACATCTTTTTGTGATCGATTTTTCTTTATCTAATCGCATGACATTGGAAACGAAAAAACAAATTTGAATATTTTCCGTTGAAAAATCAGATTCTATTGATAATTTGGGCATTTTTTCAAAGCAAAACGCTATAAATAGCGAATGCATTGCCAAATATAGCACAATTTCAAAGCAAAGTTTCTAAGGCAAAATAAGAGTAAATTTTCAAAGCGATTTGTGAAATATTCTGTTCGAAATTGCAATGCAATTAGTCGGTCGTACAATTTTCATTGCCGTGTGCATTTTAAGTGTGAGTAAACAGAAAAACAGGCTGATCAACATATTCTGCTTGATTTCTTTGGAAAGTCAATCTTCTGAGCCATGTGCTTAAGTAAATTAAGTCATAAGCCACTCTGGAGGTTTAAACATATATTGAAATATAAAAGCATATTTATTAATTATTATTTTGTAACACAATGGCGATGATAAGCAGTTTATTTAGTATATTTTTTTTTTAAAGTCATCCAGGAGAGGTCCAATTTCTTCAAAAGGATGAGACCTAGAACAGAAAAGCAAAAAGTTTAGGTTCTATGATTTTTTAAAAAATATTGATTTTTGAATAAAAAATTCGCAGTAATATATTTTTGAAAAAATACATTTCTCAAAAAATGGCTACGTACCTCCAAAGCGAATGTATTTGTGAAGCTACAATGGAAATTTCAGATAAATCGATTCAAATAGGGTCCGAAAAAATCTATCTTTCCAAAATGTGATTTTGAGAAAAACGCATTAAAAGTTTTCATTGTACTCAGCGCCCGCTCTGAAGGGCTGTTGTAAAATAAAAACTTCAATTATTCGAAATAATTTTTTCACTTCAAAACAAATTGCAAATCGTTTCTAGCACAAACATGGTTTCATGTGAGCAAAAAAAAAAAATATTGCGTTTTCTAAAATCTTAGACCCCCTAATAACACCTTGTGAACTGTAGCTGTTTCAAGGAAGCATGACATTCAGATCATTAAAAGACCACTATTAAAAGATTTTTATTTATTTTTAAGTAGAGTTGTTAAAAATACATAAATTCATACAAAACTAAATTTATTCATACAGGCCTACGCCATACCCAACTATATCGATGTAAAGGCATCTGAAAACGAAAATAATGGCGTCCTTGGATTGTTGGTCGCTCAGATGCGCTCCGCGCTAATTGATACTCGTGCTCTGACACCAGCAGAGACTACATGCGCCACGAATTACAATAATCGTACACAACAAATCAACAATCTTCTCACCACTCAGACTAATGCCTGTTTCGAGAATGCCAATCGTACTTTAATGTCCAATAAGAAGAGTGCAAATAAAACTATTACAAGTATACGTAAGAGTTTAAACAAATTGCAACAACAATTGGCCAACTGTTCATCAGTAACAGAGGCGGAGAAATTTATCAACTGCACCACTAATTTGGTAAGTTGCCGAAAGCAACAGCAAATAAATTTTTGTTCTTAATTTTTTCTTAGGTATGCATGTTATAATTTTATTTTATTTCCTTTCATTTTACCTTATTTTATGCATTTTTTTTTCATTAAAATTTTCATTAAAATTTACTTTATTATTTTATTTAATATTATTTATTTTATTTTATTTTGTTTTGTTTTATTTTATTTTATTTTATTTTATTTTATTTTATTTTATTTTATTTTATTTTATTTTATTTTATTTTATTTTATTTTATTTTATTTTATTTTATTTTATTTTATTTTATCTTATTTTATCTTATTTTATTTTACTTTATTTTTTTGCATTATATTTTATTTCATTGTATTTTTTGCATTTTATTTTATTTATTATCTTTTAATATTATTCATTTTAATTTAATTTTATATATTCCATTTTTTTTATTATAATATTATTTTTTTTATTTAATTTTGTTTTATGTCATTTTTTTATTTTATTGTTTTATTTTATTTCATTTTGTATTATTTTTTAACGGTTTGTTCATATTGCTTTATTTTATATTATAGTCTTTTTTTTGTTATTTTTCTTAAAATTTATATTTTGTTTTTAATGTTTCCTTTTTTATTCTCTGCAACAGTTCGATGAGAGCTTACATCTGCTGGACACTGTCAATTCAAAAGCTTACCAAGTGGAGGCACAAATTGCCGCCAATCAGTCGCAAGTATTTGTAGTGCGTAGTGCATGCGTCAGCGCTGTCATCAGCGGTGGCAAGGCTAATCTGACTCAAACTGCCAACGACTACCAGCTATGTTTGGGCAACATATCAGATTCCTATCTGCACGATAAATCGATTGAGTTGCTGGATTAAATGCGAAATAAAAAAATTAAGAAGAAAACTTTAACTGACTTGAGGAATATTACAATGGAATTATTTTAAACTTTTTTTTTATTTCTTTATTTATTTTTGTATCGACTTTGTGTGTAACCTTAAAGAATTTGAAATAAATTTTTTTTAATTAAAATATCTCTTCCTGTTTTGTATCTGACAAATGTTTATAAAAAGCAGAGTGGTACGAGCAATCTACTCAGTTATCAGCTATAAATTTTATTAAAAAGTTTCGAGTTCTAATACGTTTTTAATTATTATTCTGAGGTAAAAAAACCATTGTCTTTATCGCTCTTCATGGCCAGCTGTGTTTATCAATTTTTGGCAGTCCCTCCCATTCCCTTGCAAGTTTCTAATTATATTTGAGTGTTTTTTAACTTTCTGTGATTCATTTGCTGGTAATGCCATATTTTTATTGAATTGGATTATATATGTATTATTCTTATGATAACATATATATACATATTATTATCAATACGATAATTTCAAAGCGTTTTTCCCACACTTTCAAGTAAGTGTTCCGACAAGTGCACAGCAATGTGTATTATAACACGTAAACATAACTGATGACTATACATATGATATAGCTAAGCGTCAGATATAATTTAATATAAAACTAAATATAAAAAGAGGCTACATACCTTTTAGTTTAATTTTCAAATTCCTAAAATACCGCTCACTTAAAAAGTTGAAAAAAAAAAATAGAAAAAGGTTTAACATAAAGTATGGTATGACACAAAATATGGTTTAAAATAAATTTAAGTTTTACGTTTAATTTTTTCTAATATAAAATATGGCTTAACACATATTTTGGTTCGACATAAAAAATGGATTAACATTAAAAATGGTTTCAAATTAAGTGTTACCAACCTTAAAATATGTTTAAACTTAAAAATAACTGTTTAACGAAAAATTTGTGTTAGATTTTTTCACCTTTTTGCCATTATTTTCTGCATTTGCAGCGTTAAGTGATTGGTATTGGCTGTAATGTGCTGATTGCCTGAACAGTGGGCATTTAAAAACTATGCACCGGAAATGGAGTCGCAAAAAAAAACTATCAGTTGTACTTGAAAAATATATATAGATACATATTGCTAATCAAGATCATTGTTCCTACTCTTTATGTATTTTTTTCTAATCACTTTTTAATTCATCTTATCTTATCAGCGTCGGAATATTTTGACGCAATTTGTTCACGCTAAATTATTTACTTACAAATTAAAACACGAATAAGTCCGATAATTTATTGTTATTTATTTAACACAAAGTTTTATTAAATAATTACAAGATATTTTAGCATTATTTTAGTTAACCAGTATGCATATAAAAAATTAATCATATTTGCAACAACAAAAAATATTAATTTCATTTAATGCAAAAACATTGCATTTTAATTTAATATTTGATTAGTTTTTTTAAAATATCTTTCTATTTTTTATAAGGAAGCATTTAAAAAATGTTACAAATATATATTTATATATATATTAAAATAAAAAAAAAATTAAAAATAAACATTTTCAAACAAAAAAGAAATTTCTTTACTCCTCTCAATGAAAGATAACTGCTTTTGAAAAAAGATTCATTTGTATGTATGTAAGTATTTATGAATTTTTATAAAGCCTTATAGCAATTAATCATCACAGAATAAAACAAATACTCTGAGTGTGTTTACCAAAAAAATGAAAATAAATAATTAAATAAAAATCATGCGTCTGTTATTTAACACCCATTTGACACGTTTTTGAACAAATGAGCATGAATGAGTAATACTTTTACATATTTATTATTTTGTTTTTATCGCTTGCCCTATCTTTTTAACCCATAGGTAATGCCGAAAATTATTGTTATGATTATTTAACTATTTCGAAAAAAAATATTTACAGGAAATTACATAAATCGTGAAATTGTAAGATTTCAATATTAACACTCCACAAAGTTTGAAATATATTTAATATTTTTTTTATAAAAAAAAAGTTGTTTTTTTTTTTGGACGAGCTCCATTTGGCTTTAAATAAAAATTATTTTTACTCCTCTCTTTAGTTGCCCAAGTATCGTTTCCGTTAATTTTGTTTCTTTGCTACACTACATAAGGGTTAAGGTTACTTATCAGCCAAGTAGATATACATCTTTCACATTATCTTGACTTTTATTATCTTTGAGTTAAGAAAACACTTACTCTGCGAATTTTTATAAAGCTTATAGCATAACTACATGCGTATATTATAAAAATATCTATGTGAAGAAAAAAAAATCTTTGAAAAAAATCTTTAAAAGCGCAAGCATTTCATGGCAACGCTTATAATCGAAAATATTTACGAAGATGAAAGTGACATCAGCCTTGTTCGCCGCGTGCTTAGTGCTGCTCTGCTCGAGTGTAAGTTGTCATGAAAAAGACTTGAAGTTATTAATTGTTTAAGGACATAAGCAAAAATATACAAAGTGAAAATTAAAACAAAAAAATAATATTTAAAGGATATTAAAAAAAAATTAAAAAAAAATTAAAAAAAAATATAAAAAAAATATTAAAACCTACTACGAGTTTTCTTTGTTTATAACAAATATTCAATTCATACAAACAACCAGACCTCGTAGTTTACTTAATACTTATATCAAAAAATTACTATATAGCATGGCCGTAAACACAAATTATAAATTAAAAAATTTTCTTCAGGGCACCTCATTTTCGCCAAGAAGATCTCATCGGCCCAACAGTCCTAAACCAGTCGCCGACGTCGATCGCTTTATACCACCCGCAGCAGCTGATTTATTTGACGCCATTTTTAACCCTAACCCTCAGAAGTCAAGGTCACATTCTAGACCAGATGAGTCAAACCAATTTGTGGGGCCACAATTTTGTGTCGATCTGCACAATTTCATTTACCACAATACCGTTTACAGTGCTGGCAGGGATATACGCAATTCGATCAGAATTAGTGATTCCGCTGTGAGACGTTATCTTCGAGAAAATGATGAAGAATTAGAACAACAGTTCGTGGCTAATATCGATCAATGTGGCGCAATACCAACACCATCATCCCAGCAGCGATTCAGCTGTTATACAGATGTGGTAAGTTGGAAAGTCTGAAGGAGAAACAGAAAAAGAAAACAAGTTTCAATTGAGTTTACTTACAGATTGTTGGCGTGTTTACCGATATTAATGCAGCGACGCGTAGACCTCTGTTTATTAACAAAAACGTAATACGTTATCGCTTGGAAGGTCTTTCTTGGAGTTTATATGGTGAGTCTATCAAATTGGAGAAATGCTTGTCCCATATCCCACGCGATCCAACTCCACCACCAAAACGCCCTCCTCCTCCTCCACCGCCAAGGACTACAACACCTGCAGACGACACCACTACTAAGAGCACAGATGAAACTACAAATGAAACTACAGATGAAACTACAGATGAAACTACAAATGAAACTACAGATGAAACTACAAATGAAACTACAGCTGAAACTACAGATGAAAGCACTGTTGAAACCACTGCTGAAACCACTGCTGAAACCACTGCTGAAAGCACTGCTGAGACCACAGCTGAAACCGTTGAGCCAGAGTCATCATCTGCTGTGCCAGAGTCATCATCTGCTGTACCAACTGAAACAACTATTGCCCCTGAAACTTCAACTGCTGAGACCACAGCTGAAACCGTTGTGCCAGAGTCATCATCTGCTGTGCCAGAGTCATCATCTGCTGTGCCAGAGTCATCATCTGCTGTGCCAACTGAAACAACTATTGCCCCTGAAACTTCAACTATAGAGACGACAGCATCGGAGTCTACAGGGTCAGAGGCTTCTTCAGACGTAACTTCGGGGCTTGAATCAACAACACTTGCACCCTCAAACTCTACCACTGCTGCACCTACTTCACCAACGGCTGATATAGTGCAGAGTTCTGGAGATGAGGAAACAATCGAAACTGTTGAAACAGCAGAAACAGTAGAAACAGTTGAGAGTGTCGAAAATTCCGAAAACTCATCAAGCGACTGACGAGTTGTTTTCAATAACTTTAATGATATTATATTATATTAAATAAATGCATTTATATAACAAAAAAAGAATAAATTTTTTCCAAGAACATTTTATAATTTGCTACTTCCCATTTGCCAGCCCTTTTTTCTTTTTTGCTAGCATTGTGTACTGCCATTCTGAAAGCCAGTGTTAGAGTGTTAATGTAAATAAAAAATTAAGCTCAATTTTCTAATTGCGGTCGCTCCTCGGCAGGGCAACCCCACCGAGTGTATTTCTGACACGAAATAAAGCACCACATAAAAAAATTAGACGTTTGAAGGCAGCTTAGGATTGGAAACACATCAAGATGCAAAATCACAAATTGGAAAAGAAGCTCTACCAAACATCGCTTCAGCGATCTATATCATTTAATTTTATTTGATTTCATCTTATTTTATTCTATTTTATTTTATTTTATTTTATTTTATTTTATTTTATTTTATTTTATTTTATTTTATTTTATTTTATTTTAGTTTATTTTTTTTTATTTAATTTTATTTTATTTTATTTTAGTTTATTATGTTTTTCTGAAATAAGTTTTTTTTTATTTTATTTTTTAGTGAAGTAGCGTCTATTTTTAAGCAGTTTTGCCTAAACAAATTTTTTCCCCTCCTCAGTTTGCGCACAGTGGTACTTAAGTGTCTTGGTTTATACAATAATTGAGTTACATTCAGATATGAGTTGATATTTTCTCTTTATTGTATTTGTTATTAAATTTGCCTTATCAAAATTAAGGGGAATATATATACACACAGCTCAAATATTTTAATTAATACTTCCACTGCATAGCAGCTATCTATAAGTATTTCCGCTCGTGTTTAGCGTAGATATATATTTCCATTGTATACTCGTATATTCATAAGTTGTTTAATAACTTAACGCACTATCCCTGCCTTGAAATAACTGCATATCTATCCTCTATTATCGGAAGAAAGTAATTGAAATTTCGCTACAATAAAACCAACAGTGCCTGGCATGCCAATATCCGATTCTGATTTAACCACACAATGGATTGCTCTCTGTCTCGTTTTCTCTCACTCTCTCCTAACTTGTCTATTGCTAGCTTCCTCTCTTTTTCGTTCGCTATGCTTCCCTCTAATAACCGAACGTAGGCACGTAGTGAGGAAGCAGTGCTTTATAAATGATAACGGTACTTAAATAAAAAAAATAGTACAAAAGAAATGGCATAAATTTGTTTACCTTAGAATTTTATCTTTGGAAATATTATTCATCAAATTTATTAATATATATAATATTTGTTGCTACTTTAAACACAATGTCGCTGCACTTATCATTATTTATAATATTATATACTTATATCGTATTTATTCATACAATGTTATCTAATGATGCAAAAACAAAAAATTCCTAAAATGAATTAATTTAAAGTCATTGTGATATAAAATTATCTAATATTTATATAAAAAGCTAAATTTCGACTGACAAATTCACAGAACGAACGATGTGGTTTGCGTGGAAAGTGTTGGCGGCCTGCTTGCTGCTGCAAAGCGTGAGTCCAATTATACAAAATCGATTTTTTTAAGAAAAGTTTATAAAAACGAGAAACTCCTCTTTTACAGGTTTGCGCATTTGTACGACTGAATAACGAGCAAACCATCCCAAAAGGTGAACAAGCTTTGCGAGAGAATGAAGAAACTTTGTTCAAAGCAATCTACACACCGAACAAGCCAAGGCATTTTCCCATAGACAACAACATTTCAAATGAAATCGATCAGGAAATCTGCCGCGATATTTATGACGGTCAAGTGGAGCGCTATATGTATGTTAGAGGTTTTGACATCAGAAACTGTCTGCGCATCAACACTTTTATGCTGGACATTTATGTGCAGCTTTATGGCGTTGACGAGTTGGAGCTACATTTCTTGGAAGGCATTGAAAGGTGTTCTCTCCTGAACTCAACTAACCGCAAACTGAGCTGTAACTCGGGCTTGGTAAGTGCACTCGAGATAAAAAATGGCGCTGGTGAATTTCCTAATAAATAACAGCTCTTATTTTTAGATCATCAGACTATTTCAGGCAATCGATTACCTCCCAGCAAGCGTACCAGTGGGCAGAGAACTATGTGTACGCCAGAAATTTGAGTACTTATTGCGGGATTTGGGAAAAGCAACTTTAAAATACGAAGGATGTTTGTCAGCGTTATCGAATAATACCACCAGTGGACCACAATGGAATAGTACTTACGCACCACCACAGTGGAACACAACTTGGGCTCCACCACAGTGGAATAGTACTTGGGCTCCTCCACAATGGAACACAACTTGGGCTCCACCACAGTGGAATAGTACTTGGGCTCCTCCACAGTGGAACACAACTTGGGCACCACCACAGTGGAATAGTACTTGGGCTCCTCCACAGTGGAATAGTACTTGGGCTCCTCCACAGTGGAACAGTACTTGGGCTCCACCACAGTGGAATAGTACTTGGGCACCTCCCCAATGGAACACAACTTGGATTCCTCCACAATGGAATACAACTTGGGCTCCACCACAGTGGAATAGTACTTGGGCACCTCCCCAATGGAACACAACTTGGACTCCTCCACAATGGAATACAACTTGGGCTCCACCACAGTGGAATAGTACTTGGGCTCCTCCACAATGGAACACAACATGGACTCCTCCACAATGGAACACAACTTGGACTCCTCCACAGTGGAATAGTACTTGGGCACCACCACAGTGGAATAGTACCTGGGCTCCTCCCCAATGGAACACAACTTGGGCACCACCACAGTGGAATAGTACTTGGGCACCTCCCCAATGGAACACAACTTGGACTCCTCCACAATGGAATACAACTTGGGCTCCACCACAGTGGAATAGTACTTGGGCTCCTCCACAATGGAACACAACATGGACTCCTCCACAATGGAACACAACTTGGACTCCTCCACAGTGGAATAGTACTTGGGCACCACCACAGTGGAATAGTACTTGGGCTCCTCCCCAATGGAACACAACTTGGGCACCACCACAGTGGAATAGTACTTGGGCACCACCACAGTGGAATAGCACTTGGGCACCACCACAGTGGAATAGTACTTGGGCTCCTCCACAATGGAACACAACTTGGGCACCACCACAGTGGAATAGTACTTGGGCTCCTCCACAATGGAATACAACTTGGGCTCCACCGCAGTGGAATAGTACTTGGGCTCCTCCACAATGGAACACAACATGGACTTCTCCACAATGGAACACAACTTGGACTCCTCCACAGTGGAATAGTACTTGGGCACCACCACAGTGGAATAGTACTTGGGCTCCTCCACAATGGAACACAACTTGGGCACCACCACAGTGGAATAGTACTTTGATTCCTCCTCAAGGCAACTCAACTTGGGCTCCACAATGGAACACTACCTCACTCCCTGCAAACAGCACACTAGTTCCAAGTAATACAACAGTAGCTAGTGCAATTTCCAACACAACAGAAAGCAATATCAGTGCTGAAAATGTGCCTTGGTGGAAGAAGATTTGGCATAAGCTTGGAAGCATCTTTTAACCGTTCTCACGTAACTTAATTCAGTAACCTGGAATTTAAAATAGAATAAAATTATTGTGTGGAAAAAATTAAATTTTGTATGACAAATTTCCGTTACTCATTATTTAAAAAATCATGAAAATTGTTTTTGCTGAAAATTTAAATAAATTAAATTATGATTAATTTGAATGGATATGATTTTACCAGATACAAATTAAACTAGGTTGTGCTAAGCTAAGTACCTTACCAAGTAAATGGGAAGATAGTTGGCCTGTACGCTCTGAGATTCCATTCATTAAAATATCTGGATTAATATGAGAGTTAGTTTAGCTTCGGATGTTTATATTTTGTTCACCTTTTTTCTTCTATATGCTTTTGAGCACAGAAATCTGATAAATATGTTGAAAGTGTAGCATAGTTATAGGCTTATTAAATATCAGAGGTGTTATCAAAACCAACACAGAAATGCTTATTTATCGAAATTGATAATCGATATCTGTCTGAAATGGTGTTATGAAACCGACTTGACTTTTTTTTCGAAGATAAGCAAAACCGATATACTAATCAGCAATAAAATTTAATTTTTGTACATTTGTGATTATTAATTAAAAATGAAATGTCTTCAACAGTAATAACATTTTTGATAATAGAAGAATTTGAAGGAAACACAAATTTTTAAACCGATAAATCGGTTTCTCTAACACCTAAAGTTGGCAAGAGTTCTGTTTTAAAAATTGAACCGTCGAACGAGAAAGATGATTTGGTCAAAGATGCCTTTTATGAGCGCTAAGAGCATACTGACGAGCGCTGCCCCCGACGCGATGGGAAAATCGTGCTTGGCGATTTTAAAGACAGGGTGGGAATTTTTGGTACGACTTTTGGAAAACTTAGATATCACAACGAAATATCCCCTGATAGGTTGAGGCTGATCAACTTCGCCGGGGTCTGAAATGTGGTTGCTTGTAGCACAAGATTCCAGCACAAGAAAATACATCAAACTACTTGGCTGTTTCCTGATCGAAAAACGCAAACTAGGTAGATCATGTTGTGTCAGACGGAAGACATGTATCCAATGTTCTTGACGTGTGTATTTTCCGAGGACCTAACATCGACTCGGACCATTATCTTGTTGCAGCGAAGATACGCATGCGCCTTTGTGTATCGAAGAACGACCGACATTGAAAAGCTACAATCACAGCAGACTGCCGAGCGGTTTTCTACTCGACTTGCATATCTGCTCTCTGAGAGCTCTCATCAGAAACCCGGCATAAAGCAACTGTGGAACGGCATTTCAAACTCTCTACGTACAGCAGCAAACAAAACTATTGGATTTCGGAAAAGTCGTAAACAGCTGGTACGACGAACACTGCCATGTCGAGGTGGAGAGAAAACAGACTGCTTACCTCGCAATCTTGCGATCGACCACAACACGTGCGGGATGGGATAGATACCGCGAGATAAAGATGGAAGCCAGATGCATCTGCAGACAAAAAAAAAACAATAGGGCGGATTGCGTGAGTTTGAAGTGCAGTTGGTCGACCAGGGCAATGCTCGAAAATTCTGCGAGTATAGTGTAATCTGCACAATCCACAAATAGAGCGATCCCACAGTCTGCGCCAAATAGCGTGGGATAAGCTCCCTTAACATCGCAAGGTCGAACGTTTTGTGTGAAAGACTAAAGCATACCGGCACCAAACTGATTGGACTTTATCAGTGTGGCTTTAGACCCGGCAAGTCAACCCCATAATCACCATGCTTAAAATTTTGGAAAAGACCGGTGAAAAGATAATTGACACACATCCCCTTTTCGTCGATTTTAAAGTCGCCTTTGACAGCACAAATAGGAGCTGCCTTTACGCCGCTATTTCTGAGTTTGGGACCCCCGAAAAACTTAAACGGCTGTGTAAACTGACGCCTGACAATACCAGAAGCGCAATCAGGATAGAGAAAGGCCTCTCCGAGCCGTTCGGTACCAACCGATGTTTCAGACAGGGTGCCACTTCTTCGTGTGATTTTTTCAATATAATACCATTGAAAATAATACAAGCTGCAGAGCTGAATAGAAGAAGTACAATATTTTACGAGAGTTGGCAGCCACATCCGTATATAGATGATATTGATACCAAAGGCCTCGCCTACTGCTCCGTTGGATCTGCTCTCTTCACACTTGATAAAGAAGCCATAAGGGTCTGGTTGGGAACGAGAACAAGACGAAAAATCATCCATCATCAAACAAACGGTCATCGCAGTCATAACTTTAACACCACTTATGTTGATACTTTCGTCTGAGTAGACAATAGAAAGTCCTCTCTCGACAAACAAAAGCCAAGCAATGAGAAGAAGAGATGGAGTACCAACGCTAAAACGCTGGGTACCTGGCTCACCACAATCCGGACCCAATTGCACTTGCCATATGCAGATCATTTGGGTAGATACAACTACATATATAAAGCATTCATAATTATATTTATTAAATTCACCAACAGAAAGAATTTTTAAATTTACATATTGAACAATTTTTATGGAAAGTTTGCTACTTTTCAAACTAATTTTTTTCAAGTTGAAATTTATGAAAACTACTTTTATCCACAATTACTTTTCAAGCTTCTGATGCCTGACTTTTGGGCACTTAAGAAGTGTAACCAAGCCTCACCATAATTTCTTCCACCAAGAACCATTTACATTACCGATATTGTTTTGTGGTGCGTTGGAAATTTCACCTGGAACTAGTGGAGGTTTTCCAGAAGGAGGTGCTAAAGATGAGTTCCCTTGTGGTGGTGCCAAGGATGAGTTGCCTGGTGGTGGTGGTGGTGGTAAAGATGAGTTCCCTTGTGGTGGTGCCAAAGAAGAGTTGTCTGGTGGTGGTGCCAAGGATGAGTTGCCTTGTGGTGGTGCCAAAGATGATTTGTCTGGTGGTGGTATCCCAGTTGGTTTCCCTTGTGGAGGAGCCTCAGATGAGTTGTCTTCTGGGGGTGCCAAGGACGAGTTGCCTGGTGGTGGTGGCCTAGAAGAGTTCTCTGGTGGAGGCGCCAGGGATGAGTTTCCATTTGGAGGTGGCCTCTTTGGATCGCGGTCAAATGTGTCCTCCCGAAGGATGGCAGCAGTCTATAATTTTTAGAAAAATAATTTTGTGAGTCTTTGGCCACTGGTAAGTGCTTAAGAGAATTTACTTACAGTTAGTCCCAAAATAAATGAGAAGAATAATAAATTCTTTAAAATTGACATGATTATTTCTTTCTTTCTTTCCTGTTCGAATTACGAAGCACACTGCTGATTTAGATTTTAGTTCGTGCTTATATAGTCGAGAAAGAAAGTATGTATATCAGACTCAGAAAACAATATCTGGGATCTTTGGAGTGTTAATTTGATACATTTTTATTGTCTCGCACTTGACAATTTTTTAATAACGGAAAACATCCGGTGGAAATTACTTCATCAGGTGGGTATTTCCTAAAGCGAAAAGTGAAGTGGATTCGTTTATCAGGTGAGACGGTACTTCAGATTTACAGTTAAGATATTGAAATATGCTTTCCCATAATAAATATGAATGGATTTATACATTTCTGGAAGAAGAAAAGTTTAACTGATCGAAGGAAATAGAGCGAGCGATGAGAGGTTCGCTTTGAAATGCGTGATATCTGGATAATGTAGAAAAGAGAGACCGTAGTAAGAGAAATTCTTTTTCATTTAAAAAGATTATGGAGTATCTTATTCTGACTTAAAACTTTTTGTGTTCAGTTGAGTTGATGAGACTGCCTCTCATGTAATCAGTGCTTATACTGATACCGCTGTAGAATTCCTATCTCACCATTTTTGATTGCTGCAACTACTATTGGGTAATGAAGGTAGTATGGCCACGTCGGTGAATAAATTTCCCAACCTACTCTGTAATCGAATTTTAAGCGATCCATAAAGATCATCTTGGTTCTCTGATCAAAAATGCTTTGTATTATCCCATTCATTTAAGTCCGGCATTTTTGCGGGCAAAAAGAACGTCAAAACAGACGTTAGAGGGGGATTAATTGAAATTGGCCTTATCAAATACTCGATTCCTACAGAGCCGAGCTGCGTTCAGTCTAAAAGCTCTTTTAAAGTTATGAGAAGATCTCGTGAATTTTTGAGAAGTTCGAAAAGTTAACAAACAACATAACCAACCCTATATGTATCATGGACATTTTCAAATTGCCATGTAAAAAACTCCAATTCTCAAATTTTAAAACTTGTGCTTTAAATTACTTTCTGCGATCTACAGTATCGGTAAAAACTGAAGCACGGAACTAATATACATACATATATACTATGAAAATCCTCACTCTTAGCTCAGAATAATTTTTGATACGAAGTGAAAAGAAATGATTGAATATTACAACAACAGATGATATGACTGATGTTGACTACTCGCTAGTAATTTACCAACCTAGTACTTCATAGCTCACTATTCGATTGCAGAAGAATATTCTTTCTCGACTATAGAGGACTGAAAGTTAGTAATCAATTAGCTTCTCTATTTGAAAAGGAAAGAACGAGCGACTGATCATGGGAATTCTTATGAATTTTTTAATCATCTTTTTGAGCTTGGGACTAACTGTTAGTACCTTTTCTCACTCACCTAATAGTTGACGTAGCCTCACATTATGCTATTACTAAACAAAATAGTCAGCAACAGCCGCTCGGGAGGACACACGTAACATAAGAGCTTGGGTTTCCTCCACAAGGAAATGGTACTTGGGCACCACCAGAATCGGAGACAACTTGGACACCTTCTATAAGGAGTACTGAATTGACCTCTTATACAACGCCGTCAGATTGGTCCACAGATTCAACCACTGAGATCGAATCAGATCAAGCTGAGTCCTTATCAATCGCCCCCACTGAACCAGAGCCAGAAGCATTAACAAATGAGTCACCTGATGTTGAAATTACGGGTTAAACTTCTGAGACCGAAACAGACACAACTGAATCAGAACCAAACTCAACGACTACTGAGGTTTAGTGACATTCGGCGCATTCGGGAGGAATATTGATTTACCTTTAACAAAACTTACAACACAAAAATCAACATCTCATTCAATTAATAATAAAATATTTTCAATCAAGTTTTTTCTTTTATGCCGAGACTAAGCCTAAACCCATTTCATTAATTATAAAAAACTTGTTTTTAACTCAAAGTCAGTATACCAGACAGGGTATATGTTCATCCAGACCTGTAGAGGGATTCTCTAATGATTTTCGGATCGTTAAAACAACTTAGCGATAACTAAGCGACGAATATTTGGAAGTTGATAGCGCCATCGACAAAAATTGATATTTTATTAAGGTTCTGAAAAAGTAAAGTAGATCGGCAAGTTGACTAAGCTGGATAAAGAGAAAAAAATTGAAATAAAAGAGTGGCTTTTGAGATTTTGACATGCGAAAAGGAATATCCTTTTCACTTCCATACAACTGAATTTAGGAATCTGTATAAATTAACGCCAGATCTAGTTGAATACATCGTTCCTCAAAACGTTTAAAGGTTCTAATATCTATGAGTTAGTCGCCCGTAAGCTGTTATATCCACCGGGTAACAGACGTCTATAGACGCTCGATGTTTTCTACTAAGGTAAGAGCATCAAACTACCAAGCAAATGTTTGCCTCCAGATCGTCTAAATTTGTTGGACTCCTTATTGGGGCTATCGATTGCACTTATGTCTTAATTATGCGTCACAGAAATCATGAACACTCGTAAGTCTATGTCAACTACTACGGCTACCACTGTGCAAGTGGTGAGAGCTTTTAGACAGAAAGCAGCTCGGCTCTGTAATAATCGAGTTCGATGCCCAATTTCAACTACACCACCTCCAAATGCCGGACTTAAATGAATGGGATAATACAAAGCATTTTTGATCAGAGAACCAAGATGATCTTTATGGCTCGCTTAAAACTTGATGACAGAGTAGATTGGGAAATTTATTCACCGACGTGGCCATACTACCTTCATTACCCAATAGTAGTTGCAGCAATCAAAAACGGTGAGATAGGAATTCTACAGCGGTATCAGTATACGCACTGATTACATGAGAGGCAGTCTCATCAACTCAACTGAACACAAAAAGCTTTAAGTCAGTATAAGATACTCCATAATCTTTATAAATGAAAAAGAATTTCTCTTACTACGGTCTCTCTTTTCTACATTATCCAGATATCGCGCATTTCCAAGCGAACCTCTTTTGCTCGCTCCCTTCGATCAGTTAAACTTTTCTTCTTCCAGAAATGTATAAATCCATTCATATTTATTATGGGAAAGCATATTTCAATATCTTAACTGTAAATCTGAAGTACCGTCTCACCTGATAAACGAATCCACTTCACTTTTCGCTTTAGGAAATACCCACCTGATGAACTAATTTCCACCGGATGTTTTCCGTTATTAAAAAATTGTCAACATTTTATGTGCGAGACAATAAAAATGTATCAAATTAACACTCCAAAGATCCCAGATATTGTTTTCTGAGTCTGATATACATACTTTCTTTCTCGACTATATAAGCACGAACTAAAATCTAAATCAGCAGTGTGCTTCGTAATTCGAACAGGAAAGAAAGAAAGAAATAATCATGTCAATTTTAAAGAATTTATTATTCTTCTCATTTATTTTGGGACTAACTGTAAGTAAATTCTCTTAAGCACTTACCAGTGGCCAAAGACTCACAAAATTATTTTTCTAAAAATTATAGACTGCTGCCATCCTTCGGGAGGACACATTTGACCGCGATCCAAAGAGGCCACCTCCAAATGGAAACTCATCTTTGGCACCTCCACCAGAGAACTCTTCTAGGCCACCACCACCAGGCAACTCGTCCTTGGCACCCCCAGAAGACAACTCATCTGAGGCTCCTCCACAAGGGAAACCAACTGGGATACCACCACCAGACAAATCATCTTTGGCACCACCACAAGGCAACTCATCCTTGGCACCACCACCAGACAACTCTTCTTTGGCACCACCACAAGGGAACTCATCTTTACCACCACCACCACCACCAGGCAACTCATCCTTGCCACCACCACAAGGGAACTCATCTTTAGCACCTCCTTCTGGAAAACCTCCACTAGTTCCAGGTGAAATTTCCAACGCACCACAAAACAATATCGGTAATGAAAATGGTTCTTGGTGGAAGAAATTATGGTGAGGCTTGGTTACACATCTTAAGTGCCAAAAAGTCAGGCACCAGAAGCTTGAAAAGTAATTGTGGATAAAAGTAATTTTCATAAATTTCAACTTGAAAAAAATTAGTTTGAAAAGTAGCAAACTTTCCATAAAAATTGTTCAATATATAAATTTAAAAATTCTTTCTGTTGGTGAATGTAATAAATATAATTATGAATGCTTTAAATATGTAGTTTTATCTGCCCAAATACTCTGTATATGACAATTGCAATTGAGTCCGGAGGATGGTGAGCCAAGTAGCCACTAAATAGGAGGGCTGGTTGGAATGTTAGAAGACGCCTGTCTGATCTTTACCTTTAGAAGCAATAGGAGTATGTAAGGATATAGAGCAATGGACGACATTCGCATCCAAACCAATTTCCTATCCAGAATGAGTTCCAGGACGACTCCGAGGGTTTTTCCAGAGTCAGAAATACACTGGTCCGTTCCTGATAGCGCTATTGTTGGAGAACTTATTAATTTTCTATTTCCTGGTGAAGAGACCAAATTTGGTTTTCTATGGTTTGACGTATAGTCCAGTATCAATGGTCCATTTTTCTAGCCGCTCAATTCAGCTCTGCATTATATCATACAAGTTTTGAGGAAACTTGCCTTTCACTACAGCCGCCAGATAGTCCCCATGCCTTGCAGTCCCTCTACTTCTCCATATAGCTCAGCTGCAGTTGGTTCACTGCCAATACCCAGAGAAGAGGTGGGAGGTTTACACCCTGTGGCATAGCTCTGCTGATAAACTACCTAAGTACCGACACCGCCGCTATCTCAAACCTTACGACCCTACATCTTCGCATTAAATGTATAAAAGAAATCACTCGAAGATCGACGCCCAGGCAAGTCAAAACACAAGCAACTGCAGTCGGTATCCAGAAAAGCCAAAGGCTTTCTCTGCAGACATCGCCTACATTCCGTTGGGCCACTGCAAGCATCCCGCCACTGAACGAGGGGTACGTTGTAGTACTTTCCTAAGCTTATTTCCTTCTGACGGTTCCTCCTTATTGCTGAAAAGTTTGTCTATGATCTTTTTTGGCTTTCTTAGGGCTTTCTTTGAGTCCTTACGGTTTTAATTCTATTTCTATCATAGGTTCTTCTCATAGGATGCAGAAGCTACGTTAGAGGCTTTTCATCAAACCTTCGTTAGATTCTGTAGATCTGAGTCCAACTATGGCGGATTAATTTTGCCCGCAGAAACTCAAGCAGGGCATGCTGAATCCAAAGCTGTGAAACGGGTGCTAGTGAACTGGCTTACCAGCTGCTCCAGTTTTAATGTGTTTGTAACAGTTGATGGCACCAGAACCTTCTTAGAAACTATCCCAGCTAGATCGAATTGGATTTCACGATGATCGGAAAAGGGGTACTCCCCAAGAACCCTTCAATGGTTTATCACTGTCTCTGCTTCCTTTCGTTTGCCTGTGTGGTATTTTCCTGCATCAGCTTAACTAACAACAGGGTCGGTATTGCCTCTCGTGTGCTAGGTATATTGATAATAGCCTGAAGTTTCGTCCTTCTACTTTCAGACTAACTATTGTAATGCCTTTTTCAATATATTGGTGAAGAGACAGGACTTTTTGGTTCGAGCTAGAAAGAAGGCAAGACCTTGACTTGCTGGGATTCAGTTCACATATTTTGTACTCGACCAGGACTCCTAGATAAGAGCTATGTCTGCTAAACCCGAATACAGTCTACAATCTGCTTTACTATGTTGCAAGTTTATTTGCTGCACCCTCACTATCGATGCACTTACTCTTCTTCCCCTCCTTCATTGTGAAGTTTGGTGCATCCTCCGACATCAGCTGCTCCTCCGTATATTGTCAGAACGTAAAGTCCAAACCTAAGCCCGAAGAGGATGAAGAGTAAATATCCATGAGATCCACAATGTCGCCTAATGGCGCAACTTCACTCTTCTCCTTGACTTCATCCTCAGCCTCAATTTCTCGATCGTCGTCTTTCTTGTAGCAAATGATGATCTCTGAGTTCTCTGTTGTTTTGTCTTATTCACCGGGATCCCTGTCGACCTGTCTCGCATCCGCCGAGTGCAGAGTGAAATTTGGAGAAACTTATTTAGTCCACTCTATCTCTACTAAGATTTATCGTTACTTTACTTGAAATAATCTTACACTTTCTCACTTCAAATGCAATCCAAATCACCCTTTAGCAACTGCCTATTCAGTGCAAAACTCTAAACCGGATGTTTGCTACTTTAAAGAAATGATCAAGATCAAAGATTGGCATAAGTTTGTATGAAAAAGCTTCCCACTTTCGCCTGTTTGGCTTAACATTTAATCTTATCAAAATATCCAGTAGCCTTTCCGGAAATAAATTAGGTTTCGTCTGTACGTGACGGTAGTTAATTATCAACTCAGTACTTCACATCTCGCAGATACTGATTTACTGAGCTGATTAGAAATTCGACAGCAGAAATGTATTCTCTCTCGACTATATAGAAGAAGGTCCAAGAACGAGTGACATGGGAATTATAAGGAATTTATTAATCATATCCTTGATTTCGGGACTAACTGTTAGTACGTTTTATAATCCACCTAAGTCTCCTGAAGTTGAAATAACCGATTCGACTGCTGAGAGCGAAACTTCTGACAGCTACTAAATAATAGAAAGCCTATTCTTTTGTGGGAAAAATTATACTAGTGAAAACTTGTCCTCGTAGGGTTAAACCAATGAAATGTTTCAATACTGCAATACTGGTTTTTTGTATGTCTTTTAAGAATAAATTGTTGAGCTTCAATTATCACACAATGGACTTTTTAATTGTAATTTAAAATATATCGCCCTATCAGAATTCGATTACGATTACTCCCAATTTACGCAATATTCTTATCACATTTTCACAACTACTTTCCATTTTAAAGCCCATTTCAAGTGGACGCCAATAAAAGCATAGCAAAAGGTATCATAAATTGAAATCAGTTCCGATTCTTACCGACAACACGACACAATAAATACTTAAGTCTTCAAAAATAGTTAATATTATTTATATATCTTTGGTTAGCAGGAAGTGATTATTATTAGATTTTTTCTAATCGATTTCTTATTACGAATGAATGCAAGTAACACAGAACTATCAGGTATTCTTGTAATCAAAGAGAGTATTTAGGTATTTAGATAGGAAAGTTAGTGACAATTAAAATATTCTGATTTCTTTTATTTTTTTATTTTTCATTTCATTTTATTCTATTTTATTTTTCATTTAATGCTATTTTTTGATTTTAAGTTGTATTATTTTATTTACTTAAAAATTCTTTTCGCTTTATATTTGATTTCTTTTATTTAATTTTTCTTCAGTTACATATCACTACTTTTTTTTATATTAGTTTATTTTATTTTATTTTAATTAAATTACTTTTAGTGTTTTACTTAATTTAATATGATATGATCTTATTTTTTATTTTTCCTAATTTATTCTAATAAATAATTTTCTGATATATCGTTTAATTTTATTTCAGTTTCAGTTATTTTTTATTTTATTTTATTTGTTATTTTTTCAATATTAATTAAAATTTTTAATCTCGCTTCAGTTTATTCTATTTCATGTAATTTTATTCTTTGCTTAACTATTTTATTTTATTTTATTTTATTTTATTTTATTTCATTTTATTTTATTTTATTTTATTTTATTTTATTTTATTTTATTTTATTTTAATTTATTTTATTTTTTTTATTTTAGTTTAAAAAGTAAAACTAAAATACGTGTTCATCAACTCAACTACTTCAGCATTTGAAGAAAATGCTGATACACAGATATCTATAATATATTATCAGCCTCGAGCCCACTTACACACCCAATCAACATTACTTGAAATAACAACTTTCCTCTTAAAATTTCTATTTTCTCTCGCATTATGAACAATACAATCTATATCATCCCTTAGCAACTGCCTCTTCAGTGCGGAACTCTAGACCGGATGTTGCTATTTAAAAGAAATTATCAAGGCCGAAATTTACCTGACAGAAATTTGCGTGATAAAACTTCCCACTTCCGACTCTAAGGCTTAATATTTAATCTTATCAAAATATCCACAAGCCTTTTCGGAAATAAATTAAGTTTCGTTCCTACGTGACGGTAGTTAATTATCAACTCAGTACTTCACATCTCGCAGATACTGATTTATTGAGCTGATCAGAAATTCGACAGCAGAAATGTATTCTCTCTCGACTATATAAAAGAAGGTCCAAGTTTTAAAAAATCAGTGTGTTTCACTAATCTAAAAGGAAAGAACGAACGAGTGACATGGGAATTTTAAGGAATTTATTAATCATCTCCTTGCTTTTGGGACTAACTGTTAGTATCTTTTCTCACTCACCTAATATTTGACGTAGACTCATATTCTATTCCAAATAGGCAGGTGAAGACGTTCGGGAGCACGCACGTAACCGAAAGGGGTCACTATTCAATTCAACCAAAAAGAACATAGCATGGGATTTACCAAAAAGAAACGGTACCTGGGCACCTCCACAGTGGAATAGTACTTGGGCACCACCACAATGGAATAGTACTTGGGCTCCCCCACAATGGAACACAACCTGGACTCCTCCACAATGGAACACAACTTGGGATTCACCACAATGGAATAGTACCTGGGCTCCTCCCCAATGGAACACAACTTGGGCTCCACCACAGTGGAATAGTACTTGGGCTCCTCCACAATGGAATAGTACTTGGGCTCCTCCACAATGGAACACAACTTGGGCTCCACCGCAGTGGAATAGTACTTGGGCTCCTCCACTGTGGAATAGTTCTTGGGCTCCTCCACAGTGGAACACAACTAGGGCTCCTCCACAGTGGAATAGCACCTGGGCTCCTCCGCAATGGAACACAACTTGGGCTCCACCGCAGTGGAATAGTACTTGGGCTCCTCCCCAATGGAACACAACTTGGGCTCCACCGCAGTGGAATACTACTTGGGCACCACCACAATGGAATAGTACCTGGGCACCTCCCCAATGGAACACAACTTGGGGCCCACCACAGTGGAATAGTACTTGGGCTCCTCCACAATGGAATAGTACATGGGCTCCACCACAGTTGAACACAACTTGGGCTCCACCACAGTGGAATAGTACTTGGGCTCCTCCACAATTTAACACAACTTGGGAACCTCCACAATGGTACACAACTTGGGCTCCACCACAGTGGAATAGTACTTGGGCTCCTCCACAATGGAATAGTACTTGGGCTCCTCCACAATGGAACACAACTTGGGCTCCACCGCAGTGGAATAGTACTTGGGCTCCTCCACTGTGGAATAGTTCTTGGGCTCCTCCACAGTGGAACACAACATGGGCTCCTCCTCAGTGGAATAGCACCTGGGCTCCTCCGCAATGGAACACAACTTGGGCTCCACCGCAGTGGAATAGTACTTGGGCTCCTCCGCAATGGAACACAACTTGGGCTCCACCACAATGGAATAGTACTTGGGCTCCACCACAGTGGAATAGTACTTTGGCTCCTCCACAATGGAACACAACTTTGACACCTCCTTTATTGAATACTACCGAAACGACCCTTGGCACAACTTCGTCAGATTGGTTGATAGACTCAACCACTGAGGCCGATACTACAGATTCAACAATTAAATCCGAAACAGACACAACTGAATCAGATCAAGCTGAGTCCTCTTCAATCGCTTCAACAGAACCAGAGCCAGAGGTTTCAACAACTGAATCACCTGAAGCTGAAATAACCGATTCGACTTCTGAGAGCGAAACCACAACTTCTGAATCAGATCAAGCTGAGTCCTCTTCAATCGCTTCAACAGAACCAGAGCCAGAGGTTTCAACAACAGAGTCTCCTGAAGTTGAAATAACCGATTCGACTGCTCAGAGCGAAACCACAACTTCTAAATCAGATCAAGATGAATCCTCATCAATCGCTTCAACTGAAGCAGAGCCAGAGGTTTCAACAACTGAGTCTCCTGAAGTTGAAATAACCGATTCGACTGCTGAGAGCGAAACTACTGACAGCTACTAAATAATAAAAAGCATATTCTTTTGTGAGACAGATTATGCTAGTGAAAACTTGTCCTCGTAGGGTTAAACCAATGAAATGTTTCAATACTGCAATACTGGTTTTTTGTATGTCTTTTAAGAATAAATTGTTGAGCTTCAATTATCACACAATGGACTTTTTAATTGTAATTTAAAATATATCGCCCTATCAGAATTCGATTACGATTACTCCCAATTTACGCAATATTCTTATCACATTTTCACAACTACTTTCCATTTTAAAGCCCATTTCAAGTGGACGCCAATAAAAGCATAGCAAAAGGTATCATAAATTGAAATCAGTTCCGATTCTTACCGACAACACGACACAATAAATACTTAAGTCTTCAAAAATAGTTAATATTATTTATATATCTTTGGTTAGCAGGAAGTGATTATTATTAGATTTTTTCTAATCGATTTCTTATTACGAATGAATGCAAGTAACACAGAACTATCAGGTATTCTTGTAATCAAAGAGAGTATTTAGGTATTTAGATAGGAAAGTTAGTGACAATTAAAATATTCTGATTTCTTTTATTTTTTTATTTTTCATTTCATTTTATTCTATTTTATTTTTCATTTAATGCTATTTTTTGATTTTAAGTTGTATTATTTTATTTACTTAAAAATTCTTTTCGCTTTATATTTGATTTCTTTTATTTAATTTTTCTTCAGTTACATATCACTACTTTTTTTTATATTAGTTTATTTTATTTTATTTTAATTAAATTACTTTTAGTGTTTTACTTAATTTAATATGATATGATCTTATTTTTTATTTTTCCTAATTTATTCTAATAAATAATTTTCTGATATATCGTTTAATTTTATTTCAGTTTCAGTTATTTTTTATTTTATTTTATTTGTTATTTTTTCAATATTAATTAAAATTTTTAATCTCGCTTCAGTTTATTCTATTTCATGTAATTTTATTCTTTGCTTAACTATTTTATTTTATTTTATTTTATTTTATTTTATTTTATTTTATTTTATTTTATTTTATTTTATTTTATTTTATTTTATTTTATTTTATTTTATTTCATCGTCTTTGATTTAAATGAATTCAATTTTATTCAGTTTAATTTATTTTATAGAAAATTTCTCTTAGTTTTATTTCACGGCAGAACGAAATGCCTCAAAGTCTTGTTCTACAACACACTATAACTGTAATAGAAACTATTTATTTGAAATTCTGTTTGTGTTTTGTGTGTAAATATAATTTGCGGAGTTATCACTCCTAAAATTGTCACTCATACGTACACACTAACGAAAAGTTCTCATTTGTTTACCTAAATTAAATTATATTCGGACCTTATTTGCATATTTACTTTTAATTAGAAATCAAATTTTCAAATTCCAGTTATGAAAATGCTTGCTCTAGCAAGTACATATGATCATATTTTATGCACATATGTACATATTTAGTGCTTCCTTGCGCGTGCAGAGGAGAATCACTTTGTTTAATTGCAAATTCTGTGAAATTTATGAACTGTGAATGGCTGCTGCTCTTCAATAACAGCAAATAGCCGTATTCACTATATTTTTGTTTTGGTAGAATTTACGTTCACATGTATTTGCGTACACAATGGGCGAGTTAAAAGGAAATTTAAATACATATAACTATGCACTCTCACTACTTTACAATACCAACTAATTTATAGAATAATATTTGGTATACAATTAAGTCAACAAACATGACCAAAAGCGTCTGTTGGCCCAGCAACGAAGGATGACTATTTACTATTTCATCCTTAACGAAGTTCCAGGAAGAAATTTCATTTGATGTAATGCTTTTATTTTATACCTAAATAGGCTCTCATGTCATTTTACCGCTTTAATTTTTCCAATTGCATTTGCCCCTCGGCAGGGAATGCCAAGCAGAGATTGCGCTTTACGAAAAAGAGTTTTACTTACTTGAAGTTAAGAAAAGGTCGATCAGTTGGTAAATTTGAATTTGTTTTTGTTAAATCTAAAAATATTGAATCTTTTCCAATTACTTTATTAGTTTTGCTTTCAAATTTTAGAGCGATCGGCTGAAATGGGGACGAAATTTCGCCAACAACGCAAACGGAAATTTGCCATGTGATTCTCTTCGTGTTTCGACGTAGTTTACAGCCAATGCAAATATTCAGTTCAAATTGCATATGGAACGATTGTACCGTCTTTTAAAACTATTTCTAAATGGCTCCGAAGGTTTCAGATCACAGATGACGTCACTGTAGCTCTGATGAAGTCCCCAATTGACTTGACAATTGAATGATTGCCCATGAATTGAGCTTGAATGCCATGGTGGTGTCGCGAAAATTAAGTAATCATCTGGGATGCAGGCAGAAATCTGCTCGATAGGTATCACGAATTTTAAATGAGACCCAAAAAGACGCTCGAGTGCATATAGCTCAATTCTTCCTAAACAAATTTTCTCCTTGGGAAGTAAACAAAGAATTAAGCACTTCGAAAAAATTGTAATTTTCTAATTCTGCAGATGCGGATTATAAGCTTGGGTGTGAAAGAGAAAAGTTCCGAAGGGAACACTTTTGTGAAAAACTTTGACCAGCGGAGAAGTGACCAACACATACAAATAAGTAGTAAAATCAAAAATATTGGTATCGTAAAAATAAATCAATTACCTTAGTTATTATAGAATTTTCCGATTATCACAATTAATCTCCCCTGAACAGAACCTGTCTGACGTCAATCCTGGTGGGGATACCGTTTGTGCCAGCTTAACGGCACACAACCGGAACCATCTCCCTTCTAACACCAGACACCGTTCGCTTCATAAGCTGGTCGATTTTGTTACGATTCAGCGTTTCGAAGATGAGTTCCATTTGGTTTTTTTCTCTTTTAATCATTAGCCGCCCATACAGCGAGCTTCTTTTTGTATCCAGTAATTTTTATATGGTTCCAAACTGTTATTTTTGCATTGGCTTTAGCTTCTGGGCAATTGAAACGTGCTAGTATGACAGTCAGCCTCAAAGCTTTCCATTATTTGCTCACCATTTCCGACAACTAAAACCAATACCATTAAATTATTTATAAATATATTTTTAATTACGAAAAATTAAATTAAAAAACATTAACGTAAATACAAATACATGTATATATGATACATATGTATAATAGGTACATATATGTACGCAATGAAAAGGAACTTGCATGATTATATTAATATGTATAACATAAAATATATAAAATACAATGCATAATATCTAATATATGATAACTAGTAAATAATAAATAATATATAATATATAATATATAATATATAATATATAATATATAATATATAATATATAATATATAATATATAATATATAATAATGTATAAACGTATGTATGTGTTTTACTAATATTCCTACGATGCTTGTCGCAGCGAACTCATATATTTGAAAACAAAACACACACACACATATTGATATCCTACCATAAATGCCATGGCTACATGTACACCTGCAACGGATATAAGCTCATCAAATGCACACGCTTCCGTGCGTATTGCTTACTGCTCATCGCTGCTAATGCTAAAGCTGTAGCTGAATTCATTTTGTATAACTAATACACAAACAGTAATACAACAACAACAAAATGCAGGTAACTAAAAATATGTGCTTCCATAAATCTATAAACATAAACGTTTATATGTATGTACACATACACATGTATGAAGGCACATATATGTGTGCATGTGAAAATCCCAGCAACTGTTTATATGATAAGTGACATTAATTCGTTATGATCGTTTTCGCTCAACTGACTGAGCGTCTACTTCGTTGATGAGGATGAGGATGATGCTGCTGACAATTTCCGCAATAGATGTTTTTTTTTTATTTTTCATTGGCAAAGCAGCTAAAGTGAAAGCTGATACCCCAGACGCTCGTACACGTATACAAACATATATGTGTTCATATCATTTTTACATTACTCTCAAATATATATGTATACATATAAACATACAGGAATTTATGTATGTACATGTGTATGTCTTTACATTTCACATGAGCACAATTTAAAATGAAAGTGTACATCTATATGAATTCATACACCTTCTAATGCCATAAATATGTGCAAATATATATCGTAGATATATAAATACCTTTAGTACATATTATTTATATTTTGTACGTCGCTCAGTGGATTGTAAAATTATTGCGCGCAACAGTTAAAAAAGCGCAGCAACGGCGGCGATGCATATAAATGGAGGTGCAGAAGCGTAAATACATATATATTTTTGATGGGTTTAAAAATATTTATACGGGTTCATACATACAATGCAATTCTGTACTAACGCGTTACGCTTTTTTAATTTTTTTCTCAGTGGATCTTAGTCGGGTGGCTTACATATCTCTCGACATATTTGGACTTAAAGGGTAAAGTCACTCTAGGATTTGTTTGCTCACAGGCTACCTTTGGGTCCTAGAAATTATATGCAATTGGTTTTAAAGTAAAAAAAAAAATATGTCGAAAGCTGAAATTTTTTATTTTTCTGCAGCCCCTCACAGAGTGCGCTGGGTGTAATGAAAACTTAAAACGCGTTTTTCTAAAAATCACATTTTCCAAACTGAGAAGACCGATTATTCGGTCTCTATTGCACAGATTTAGCTGAGATTTTGATGGTATCTTCACAAATACATTTGTCTGTCTGGAAGCACGTAGCTATTTTTCGATTAAGTGAATTTTTTTTTTAATAATTTAGCACGCATTTTTTAGTGAAAAAATAATTTCTTTAAAATTCGTTAAAAAACATATTCGTGCGCACTTTCAAAGGCCATAGTTTGTAGAGCATAAAACTTTTTGCTATTCTTTTCTAGGACTCATCCTTTAGAAGGTGAAAAAAATGATCTCAAGAGCAACCTGTAAGAATCGAATGGCCTAGATTTTTGCCAATAAGAACAGGAATTTATTTGAGAGAGACTTTATGATATTTATTTCATTGAAAAATGGCAAAAAGTTGTCGACCAAAACGTTGATTGCTTTATTTAGTTCGGATAATGTCAGTTAAGGTAAAAAAAAGCCTTCAATTTAAAGCAAAAATTAATAGATTTTCACCAAAGCTAGACTTAATTGATTTCAATACCTTGGAAGTGATTGTAGTTATATGCAAATTGCTTGGTATATGACTCCACT